GCAGAGACAGCAAAATTTTCCCCGGGGTCCTCAGCTGCAGCCAAGAGGAGGTATCAACCTGTTTGACCATGGCATCCAAGACCTACAAATGCCACTTTAAGGGGTCTTCACTTTAAGCTTCCAGACTTAAGTAGTGAACAATGATGCCAAGTAGGGATTTTTCCAATGCTTACTTACATCTCCTAAAGATATTTACTTTCAATAAGCGACAAGCACAGTCCATTTGTTTTAAATATCCTGAGCTTTTTTCTAGCTAGCAGACCACTCAAGTGCACGTAAGATGAAATAATTGGTAGAATTTTTAATCTTCCTTTGTTTTTCATGTGACCACTTTGTACAAGTCCAAGGGATATGCCAACAATAGCACAGCCTGCGTCACACTTGTTACTAATATGACTGCCAATTAATCCTGACATGGGAGCTTGGCGGGTTACCCAAAACCTGGCATTTTATCACCTCAGGGGGTTAGCACTTGGACATTTCTATGACATTTTATTCCAATCAATCAACTTTCCTTTTTTAAAGGCGAGCCTTTCATAGGAACTGCAGACGAGTCCTGTATGCCCCACACCCAAGGCCACCCATTCCTCCAAAAGAATTGCACTTGGTTTGTTGATAATTGCACTTTGAAGCCGACTTTTGAAAATGTTTATTCTTATTTCTTCCTTTCCGAGGGGGAAATCTATCTCAAATGTTAAGACAGAAACTCAAGTCCCCAAGAGTTTTCTCATATTATTGTATATTTTAAAATATTACAGGAGGGTGCCTCTCAAGGGAAGTGAACTTTAGAGCTGCCAAAGATAGTTGACTTTCTCCAAATCTGTTACCAATGGATCCCAAGCTGGTTTAAGTCAGTTCTATTCTGAGTAATGACACATGCGGCTGGGACAAACGCCATTCTAAGATATTTCTAGGACCCCCGGCAAATGGTAATTTATCTGGAGACAGCCAGGCAGGCCAAAGAAGGACAGATGGAGAGAATGAGTCTCCTGGGAGTGATACTCCAAAGCGAGAGTCCTAAATCAGTGCCAGGGACCACGTTCTCGAGCCGAAGGCTCGTCTCCTATCACTCACTCGTCTCCTATCCTCTGGCCTCCAATGATTCTTTCAACTGTTGTTAGTATAGGTCATTCTAAAGACATCACCAAGCTGCAAAAACTTTTACCGGCAAACTTTCAGTCTTTCCCCTATTTCCTGTCTCCTGGAATTGCAGGAAGAATCCCAACCTAAAGCAGGAACTTTGCGTTTTCCTTATTATTTGAATAGCTGCCTTCAGGAAGCATGGGGGGTCATAACTCCTCTGTCAAAACCAGCTTCTCCTCGCCGACTTTTCTGTTCCCCCAACCAAGCTTGACTGAGGTATAACTGACGAATGAAAACTGTATATATTTAAGGAACACCAAGTGATGTTTTGATGCATGTATCCATGACGAAAGGTTTATCACAATCAAGCTAATAAACATAGTGTCGTCACCTGATGTGGTTACCACTTTGGGTGGAGAGTGAGAACAATTAAGATCTGCTCTCTTGGCAAGTTCCAAGTATACAGTACAGTATGGTTAGCCATCATCACCATACTGTATATGAGAGCTGCAGATCCCATCCATCCACCTAACTGCAACCTGTACCCTTTGACCAGCACCCCTATATTCCCCCACCACCCAGCACCTGGTAACAACCATTCTACTCTGCTTTAAAAGCCTGATGTTTTTAGATCCTACATGTAAGTGAAGTCGGGAACCTGGAGGACATTATGCTAAGTGAAATAAGTCAACTGCTGAAAGACAAATACTGCATAACTTCCTTTTCTGGTTTTTACTTCCTCCTTTCTGTCCATTCCTAATTCAAAGAAAGAGCCCAGGTTGTCCAAGCTCATGGAATAAGGCAGAGGGACACTGGCTTTGGGTCCAAAATCCCAGCCCTTCCAAAGAAGTACTACATGATTCTGGTTAAATCGCTAGCCTTTCCCTGCCTCAGTTGACTCATTTGGAAAAGGAAAGGACGTCTGCAAGCAAGGCACAACACCACCCTCCATCTGCCGTCAAGGGACCCGGTGGCCAACTGACTCGGGATGAGGCATCGCATGGGACATTTTTAAAGCACCATTCTGGAGTGTTCGTTCCGCCCCAGGGACTGAAGCATTACCCCCATTAATCCCCTCAACTCTCGCAGCTTGGTCATCCTTGAGTTTTGTAGAGGAAGAAGCTGAGTCTTGGAGAAGCCATGATGTCAGTGAGGATAAGAGCCTGGGTCTGAACACAAGCTTGGCTGCAGAGCCTATGCCCTTGCTCCCTGCCTCACATGTGCTAAAACAGGCTCAAGGAGGTCATTGTCTTCGGAAGAAAGGCAAGGTGTGGTGGAACCTGAAGGGCTCCCTGGAAGTGAAATACGGCTTAGCTCCAAGGCATGTGGATTCTGTGTGTGTGGCACAGGGTAGAGAAGTTGGGCAGCCTGCTCAATCCTCGGTAGTCCCACACTTCCATCTCCCCTCTGCTGAGAAGTTAAATGGCAGCCTTGACATAAACATCACACTCTAATTTTACTTCGCCCTCTATTTAGGAGGCAGACTTCCTATCACTGATACAGGGGAAGGAAAGGCGCTGTTTCTTGGGAACAGGGCGCACGTGTCCCCTGATGTTGCCAGGGCAACCTTGCAGTGGCACAGAGCCCTCCTTGTAGGGAGGGGTGGCTGGGCAGATATGTGTCGGCGGCAAAACACTGTGTAGCCAAGGCACGCAAGCACCAGAGGAAGCAGAAGTCAGTCGCCGTATTCTTGGTGGGGAGCGGGGGGAGCAGGGGACAGGAAAGTGGGGAGAATGCCTCCTTATGGCTAACAGAGTCGTCTCTCGTGGAGGAAACTAGTTTCGTGGAGTTTCCAGAGATGGCTATTCTTCTGAAATGTCCTCTGTGAATTCGGTCTGACCTTCCCAAAATGTTGACAAGCGGCATCTTGTCCATTGTTTGTTAAGTTCACTGAGGAGAGAAATGTTTTGAGTACCCAACTCCACGAAGTTTCCCAAACACGGAAAGAGCTCAATAAACCGGATAAATGCTGCATCTGCGGTCATGCTCTGTGCACTCAGACACGTGCAGATAAGAACCCGGTCATGCTGCGGCCAGAGCTTGCCTCTTCTACCAGCCGAGAATCTTCTGTGGCCCACTATTATCACTGAATGGCAACAGGGTCCTATCCCTCATCTGGCCGCTTGTCTTTCCTGACGCTAGAATCTGAGTGGACCCAACAAGAACCGAAGGCTGACCTAAGAGGAAGCAGGACGCTGAGCACCGGCTGGAGACAAAGAATAGATCCTGTTTCTGTGGTGCGATGTCTGGCTCCAGACCCTCCTCTCACCGGCTGGGGGGACTTTGTGCAAGCCACCTCCCCTTCCTGAGCCTGAGGCCTCCGCTGCAAGACGGGGCAGTTAGATGCTATAATATTCTCCAATCCTCCTCCCAGTTCTGGCAGTTTCTGCACAGTGCTCTGGAGATTGGACATACTCAGGAAATGCTTTAGAAGCATGAAGAACATCTGGAAGACCCTAGGCTGCACGGCTTCCTTGCCTGCCTTCTCCTTAGTGCCGTGTGTGAGTGTGTCTGAGTGTGTCCGAGGGGGCATGTTCCCGGGGAAGACATAGGAGGACGGGGCAGAGACGAGAGTCACTGAATGAAATGTAGCATATCCAAGAAGAAGAGAGGAGACGTTGTGGGAGAGAAGACAGCAAGCAAATCAGAAGCAAAAACACTGCCCCAGTGGTCTATAGGGAACAAAGGGGATTGTGGGTCAGGGAGGTATTGGTAAAAGAAGGTTTCTGGTGAACATTCTGGTGAGCCTTATCCTTGGTGGCAGCAGGGTGGGGAGAGAGAAGGGAGGGTATACTGCAGGGACAAGTGTGAAGTGATATCACAGGGCCTCGCACGTGACCCCTTCCCCAGCATGGCAGGAAGCAGACATTATCATGTGGTCACCACTACCCCCCCAAATACAGGAAGAACCACGAAAGCAACAGGAGTCTCCTAGATCCCCAGCACCAGTTCTGTGACACAAACTCCGTAGGCTCCAGCAAAAGTGTTACCTCACCAAGCCCTGGTGTCCTCAAGTGCAAGAACGAGGCTAGCGATAATACTATTAGTCTTCCACAACCCTCAGGAGGATGGCGTCCAATAAGGTAAAATGTGTGAAAATATTTCGCAAACATATAAATATGCAACGTCTTGCTAAATAGCTGAGTACTCGTTACTACGAAAGAAAATCAATAAAAAGGAAAATAAACGCTCTGTTTTGACTAAAGGCAGGAAAGCACTGTTAGCATGCCATTGTGGGTCTGCCCTTGTAGATCTGGATTAACCCCAAGGAAATCTCTCAGCCATTCTCCCTGGCCTCTATTCACACGAGAGGCTTCGTAGGGTAGCTCCACACGGCTCCTCCTACTTTGGAAAAGCATTTTCTTCTGCTTCTGGAAGAATGAAGCCATACAGGACTCTACGTTGGAGTTAACACCTCCCTAGCGACACTGTCTCTGGCTCACCTTCAGACAGAATTAAGTACTCCACGTTGGGTTTAAATGCCAGCAATGGCGACAACCCCAAGAATACCTTCTCTTTCAATACGCTGCTGCTTTGTAGAGAACACAGAATGAGTGTAATATACAAATCAGTACCCGACTCAACTCTTCCACTCACTCCACAGACACACAGCTTAAAGATTCATCTGCCTAGCCCCCTCATTTTACAGGTGAGGACACCAAGGCCAACTACGGGTACCTGGACCAAAGTCACACTCCCAGGAAATGGGCATCCGTTCCAGAATCCACCTTTCTCCCCACTCTGTGGCACTTCACAATCTCCATTTATCGTGGTTATAATGCACTTTTAAGATTCAAACCCGAGCAGCCCTCCATCATCAGCCATCTATCTTTAAATGCAGTGTAGGAAATTGGTCCGTGTTTGCCCCTCCACCCCCAGAGGCGAGCTTCAGCTGGGAGTTTGGGCTCGGCTCTTACCTGCAGATTTGCACAAGGTGGTAAAACATGAGTGGGGATCTCATTCTCCGACCCTGCAGGCCCCAGGGGCTTGTTCTTGACCCGGAAGGCTGTGGTGGTGGTGGCAGTGGTGGTCTGAACTGGGAGGGCTGGCTGCCACACGGTCACATCGGAGCCATTGCCAAAGGCTTGAATTGCATTTTCTGCAGTAAAACAGGAGGAAATCCAATTTCAAAGTCAAGCAGCAAATGTAACAGACAGGATACACGAAGCCAGAGAGGCACGCTAGAAATTCTGATTGCAGTATTGGACTTCTCTGAACAAAACCCATCCATCCATCCACCCTACACATCCTGGGAGCCAGCCATCAGGTCAGGTGCTCAAAAATCAATTCATTCATTACACACTGCGACGGACACTTAGGTACGTTCAACGTGCAACAAATATTGCTCCTATTTATGTACCAGGTGCTGAGCAAGATGCTTGCCCAGAAATGCTCATCACTTTGAAACCCAGCCTCGAACCTGTATTTTGGGATCCCCATCACTGTCCCATCTTTCAAGAACATCCTCCCGCGCTCTTAAAATTCTATTCGAAACGGGAACTAGTTGGTGCTTTTTTGGAAAAAGTAACATTTCCTTAATTATGAGACTGAGGCAACTTGGTGGCATCCACACTAATTTGGCAGGCAGTGAAATCACACAGCGAAAACTGTGATTTCTTACCACCATGGAGCACCCTATACACTCTCCGAACAGCCTCCGTGAGCCAGGCACTGCTCAGAGTATGGATGGAACCAGTTTCTTTAAAAGAAAATTCTACCCCAAATCTCATCAATATATAGTGAAAATTTAAGTAAGATTATTTTTTTCCCTTTCCGCTCCCAGTCTTCCAAACAAAATCTGCATAATTAGGTAGGAGCAGCCCTGCTTAAATGAAAAGTTTAAAATGTAGAACTTTAAAAGCTTATTACAATTGCATGGGATTAGATTGTTTTTATGGCAAGAGTAAATTGGTTGTGTGTTGTTCCCCTCCCCACAATGAATTAAAAACAGTTTTTAATCAGGTCCTCGGGGATTTGGCCTGGCTTTAGGAATTTTTTATTTCATATTCATTGTGTAAGAAATCAAACTCCCCCATTTGAGACCTGAATGTGCAAATTGTTAATATATGACTCCTTGCTGGCATTTTTTCGATATACCAGACAGAATAATTGAAGCCTAATCTTCCTCTTAGAAGTGACATTTTGTTCTAAAATTGTTATCCTTTAAGTTCAGGCAAACTGGAAGCTTGTTTTCCAAAACTTTACGTTTTTTTAGGCTGTAAGAAACAGCTTTGAATGAATATAAATACCTTTTATGCTCCTAGCCGTGTTACACGGCTTACTGGCTCGGTAGAATGCAGAGAAAGAGAGACGCAGCGGACTGGTTGCCTCGAATAACCCAGAACAACCAGCACCACAGACCGCACAACCCTCCTTTCTCTCATGTGGATTCAAGAGACCCCTTCCCAATTATTGGAACCACCTGTGCTTTCCGGGATGTTTGCCTTGCACTTGGGGAGTTGGTTCACTTGCTCATTCATTTACTTGAATGGAATGTGAATGCAATGTGTACTAAGTGCCAGGAGCTGCTCTGTGCTAAACATGCAGCAGTGAACATCCGTGATGGCAACAAAAGACAAGAGTCCGTGCCCTCACGGGGGTCCCATGCGGATTGCAGAGGCATGTAAGTGACATATGCAATACATTCCGTGATGAGAAATGCTTGGAGGCGATGACGCAGGAGTAGGGCATGACTCCTGATTTCGGCACGGGTTTGTGAGTTCAAGCCCCACATCGGGTTCTGTGCTGATGGTGCGGAGCCTGTTTGGGATTCTCTCTCTCTCTCTCTCTCTCTCTCTCTCTCTCAAAATTAAGAAACTTAAAAAGAAAAGAAGCAGCAGTAAGAATGGAATGGGGAACCGCAGTTCAGATACAGTGGTCCAGGAGGTGAAAGTAGCTTCTGGAGAAAGACCCGAGTGACAGTAACTGCTAACTTACCTCCACCGCAAGCTCATTCTTCTCTCTCTTCCCCTCATCTTGGCCAGGTATTTTGGCTTAAAACCAACTGTTCCTCCCCCCACTCCCAATAACCAGAAATAAACAATCGGTTAAAGTTGTGCTCACGACAGAGGCGTCTGGGAGAGCTCCGGCTAATCTGAAGGCAGAAGAATTAGGTTAATGCATTTGAGGTGGAACCTACAAATGTCAAATCCTTCTACTCTGGAGTCTTTTGCCAGAGAGTGAATTTACAGGTGCTGTGTCTTTGGTATGCCGTGCCCTTTCTGATCAAAGTATAAATGGAATGACTATGAAAAATTCTGGCTGGCTTTGGTCCCTATTGAAGACCAAATGTGTTTATTTTTATTGAAAAGTCATTAGCAAAAAGATGCCGGACTATTCTCCCCTTCACCAAAATATTATTAAGCGGGGACACCTTTAATTTCTCCACGAAAGAGGAGTTGTCCAGCCAGTGTGAGTATGATCTTCTGCCACACTAACCTATGTTGTCACTGCTTTATCTTCATTAAAACTTGCATTCTACCAGAAGACTATGCAGGATGTGGAAAAGAGGGATATATACATACATTTCTTCTTTTTAAGTCAAGACCAAACAAGAGATCCGAGGTACAATTCAGCGGTACACCCAGCATCTTAGCAAATGTCTCCGCACTTCTGAATATGTGTGTGATTTTCAATTTCACTTAGGTGTCCAGAAGCTTGTGTTAGTTTTAAGATGATCAAAACATTTGGTTATAGCCGCATTATTAAAAGTACCTAGTACTAGCATTATTAAAAGTACCTAGGTATTAAAAGTACCTAGCCCTCAGGGGCTGCAGAGAAAGGCACTCGGGCTTCAGATCCACCATTGCACGGATGGTCTATACAAATAAACAGCTGTTTACTCAACTGTGAAATGGAGACAATAATACCCATATCTCCGAGGGCTCTTGCCCAGATTATAAAATGAGGTAATATATATATTGCACTCCCTATAGAGTGAGTCGAAGGTTCCCAATAAATTAAAGGTGGCTGCCACAACGTGTGAGTGAGGTACTCAAGCATCTCAGCTGGACTGTCACCTCCAGTGTGCACATCTCAGTGGATAAAAGGGAGACCTGGCCCAGTCCGACGCATGCCCATTGTTCACACCTGAACAATTCTCTCTATCCCTCACCCTTTGGGAAACGTGTTTTCTAACTGCCTGAAGGACACCACAATCAGAGCCAAAACTATTTCCAAGCAGGAGCCCCCTTAGTGCTCAACTCTCTCTCCCGAGATAACACATCCTGAGGCTCCTGGCCACATGGCCAGCTTATCTCACTCAAGAATTGTTGCTTCTCCTCTGAGCCAATCCTGATCATCCAGGGGGTTATTGATGTTAACGTTCTAATTTTTCTCAGAGAGCCCTTGGAGGCCTACCCCCATCTAATTTGTCTGAGCTTCTCACATCGTATATCGTGCCCAGGTTTTAAGAACCTTTGGAACAGACTTTGTGCTGGTTGCCAAGATCAAAATTTGATCTGTGGGTAGGAGTGTTCTATCCACATAATGTACCCTCCGTTGTTTGAATCTCTTGCTCTCTTAGGCCTTTGGATTCACAGACTTAGCAGCACTGACTTGCTCTGTTCCCTGCTGCGTTGCGTAGTGTGGCCAAGAGATGCTGGGTTCACCATCAGAGATCAGGAAAAAAAGCGACAGAAAGAGAGAGAGTGAGAGAGACAGAGAGAGAGAAGAGGCAGACCCAAGAGACATGAAGGTACAGCTTGAACACAGAGAGGAGAGCATGCTTGTGTTTCCTTCCTTTTTTTTTTTTTTAAACTCACTGAGACATGTATTGTCCTTGAAGAAGTTCAAAAATTTGAAGCACTCTTCCAGATCATTCCCACTGTTGTTGCAGTCACACCATGGGGCCACGCTGAGGCTACTGGAGTCTATGTAGTTGGGGGTCATGACTGTACCTAAAAAAGTAAAAACAAGGCATCTTGTTCTTCTTGTGTGATGATACAGACTTTTCTATAGCCTAAAAGAGAAAACAAATGTTCCTCTGATGGTGGATGCACCATGGATAATTACAAACATTGTGTTTGCTGAGTGGGAAATTATGTTAAGCAGTGCATTTTCTTGGCAATTTATCTTGAGCACATAAAATAATTTACACATTTACTTAAAAAATTGTAACAGAACTCCTTCAGCTGCGCTTAGGGTATTTTTTTTTCTGCACAAATGGTATGGATGTTATGGAGTAGGAGAGAATTAACTTAGAATGCATGAGTTCCCAAATCCCTTGCATTTTCTCGAAAATGTCATTAATCTTCATAAATAGATAGAACTGGTTTTACATATCTTAAAAATCCTTTTAGGACTTTGAATCCACTTTCCTTGGAAGCAAATGGCTTCTTCAAAGCAACACGGGAAGCTTAGATGCTATCCTTTGGGTTACCACACATCCTGAACATATATAACAAGGCCTCTGGTCACCAGACTCTCAACTGATTTAAAATAAAGTCTTCCAAATTGTGAAGGAATTGGAAATAAACAACGGAAATTCTCTAAGCTGATGGCTTCTAGAGTATTGTCTCAATAGTCCTCAAAAGTCCTCAAAGAAATGCTGGGTGGTCTCTCTTGCCTACATCGTCTTGTGTTCATGGTTTTTCTGATGAGTTCTGTGCTGGAGCAAATAAACAATGAATTTATACTTAATACAACCCAAATGTCTTCTTCTGGGTGGCTTGCACCAGGCGATGCCTATTCATGCCAAGAAGCCTTCTGTTTTTATACATTTTTGTGGATGTAAGAAGTAATAGGTGGTCAGTGATCCACAGGATATATTTGGTTCATAGACAGAAGAAAAATTGCTTTGTGAGCTCTTCTGGGTCAAGGACATATCTTCTTTGCCCTACGTTCCTTACCAATCTGAACTACATGATCTCCCATTATACTCTGTGATGGGAACTTTGACCCACAGCAGACAGTGAGCACCTAACTTTGAGTGAGAAAGGAAAAGGCACCCCAAACACTGAGTCAAGAGGTTAAAACATGTGTACTAAGAAACCACTGAATGCCTGGCACCATTGTGGATCTCGGACAACATGGAAAAAGTGGGCACAGGCTTTGTCCTAAAAGAAGTTAGAACCAATGCAGAGGGAAAGATCCAGACCCAAGAGGGAAGTTAATTTTGGTCTGTAAAGTGCGTTGCCTCAACCATTTCATTCCATTACGCGATGAGTATTTCATCAACCTCAGGCATGTAATGGTTTGCCAAGCCAGAAATGCCTGGCAGCAACATGCCTTGTCTACTCATGGAGGATTTAATGAGCACGTATACCTGGAAGGATATGGACTAAGGTGTTAATAGTGATTAGGTCTGGGAGTAGAGTTGTAGATCCTTCCTACTGTCTCCTTGGGTTTCTCTGTATTTTTTTAACTTTTTATAATGAGCATGCCTTAATTATTTCCATTGGTTCTTAAACCTATAATTCCATAGTTGGTAAGTAACCCCTACTAGAGACTTAAGAAAAGGAAAGGGTGAATGCAAATGTGGAATACTGACTCAAGGAAGATACACTCATTGGAACACATACACAAAAATGGTAAACAACACCGGTGAAAGGCATTGCCCAAGAGAACACAGGTGTCCTTTCAAAAAACTCTGGGATGGGTGTGCAGGCACCTGTAATATGCCTGCATTAAGTACCATCGCTGATGTTTTTCTCAAAAGCTCTTGCTGAAGGCACTCTGGTGACAAAAACTGTAGTCCGTGCTGTCATTCTTGGTGGGAAGTTCTTCCCGCCTGGTGACTTGTGCGATCCTGACAGGAACACACACCATGGCTGAGCCATCACACTTCTGACGACTGTGATTTTCCTCACCCCTCCACAGCCTTCACTACGCGTTTTTCCTCAAATGTCAATCGTGACGGAGCCCTGCCATCGAGGCTTCTTCAGGCCCCAGGATCCGGAACACCTGCCTTTCTTCCTGCCTACCCCTTTATCCACAGACACAAATTTGCCTCGCTTGTGACTCTTCTAACTCACTGGTACCCTAACTGTGCTGTTGCCCTGAATGCCCAGAACCTGGTTCTTCTTGGGTCTTGAGAGGCAGAAAACACTGTTTCCGCTATATCTGTTCTCAGAGGGAAATTTTAGGCTAAATCACTCCCTGCATACCAGGAGCTGAGTTACCAAGAATACCAATGGCGAGAAGGACCCCAGTTAGTTAGGGGTTTTATTTCCAAAGGGCCATTTCTGGGGAACAGCCTTTTCTATGTCCCCAGACCGAATGACTTCCACGTTCTCTAATTCAGTTAAATTGGTTTGACTTGCTTCCCTCTTCCACAGCCATGCTTTCTTTCTTGCTGTTGTTCTGTGTGGTCAGTTCTCCACCTGAGATGCTTGTCAGGTGCTCATACTGTAGTTCACCTGCACTGCAACACTCCCTGCTTCCTGCCTCTGCCCTTGCATATCCAGGATCCTCAGTTGCCTTATTTTTTTTTTAAAGGTGAGTCCTATAGGGCTTAACAGCAAAGCCCCAGCACAGAGGGTGACCGGGAGATTCTTCCTTTCACAGGCAGTGACAGGCTACAACGGGAAGAGTCTGTGAGTATTTGTAAACCAGACTTTCCTCCCGTCCCGCTTCTCCCCGATCTTACCAATAAGCCCTGAGTAGGCGAGGAGGCAGTCAGCATAGTTTTCCTTTAGGCAGCTGCTGGCAGACCTTGACTCCGGTTGGCAGTTGGTAAAAAAATCCGCAAGGCGAGATCTACAGTGGGAAGAAAGGGCAAAAAGGGTGTGATTTGAAATACCCTACATTAGCTCCTGGACAAACGTAACTTTATTCCTTCGTTGACAAGCCTTTGTCCACACCAAAAAAAAAAAAAAAAAAAAAAAAAAAAAAAAAAAAAAAAAATTACATAAATAAATAAAATGTGAACTCTTAGGATGTTAGCATTCTCTCTTATATACCTCCCCTGCCCGCCTTGCTGTCCCCGCCTTCAACCGGCCCTTGCCTACCTGTGTGTCTGCTTATTTGCAGAGAAGTCTTCAGGGCCTATAACGGGAGAAATCTAGATGCTTTGAAGTTTGCATTCAATATTTATTTCTGACAGACTTATTTGCATCTTTAGGAAATATGCTTCTCTACACACTCACCAGAGATCCACACTGGGAAAATATTTACTTTATACAGAAACATGTCCCTGGCATCAAAATAGGATCCTACAGCCCATCTGCTCCCGTAATTCCTGCTGGCTTTAAAAATACGTGCATTTGTCTTGTAAGTTATCTCTCATCCAACAGCCCAGGGGACAGAGATTTATTCCAGCCAAGTGACATGGAGGAAGGGCTCGTCTCTCCAGAACTGGAGGGGAAAGAAGGAGGGACAGGGACGCTGGCTCTGGGTGAGGTGTCACTGTGTGACTGGGCCTTTGGTGGGAGGCGGTGCATGGAGGAACCACTGACCAACTACTGTACGTATCTGCAGTTTGGGGACTCCCCAGGGACCCACACAGTCCACTGGGAAGCCCTGAGCGGGGGCGACATGGCAGAGACCCAAGGGGGTGAAGAGGGACAACAGACACGCTGGTCGGGCGAGGAAGAGGACTGTTTGTGGCTAACTGGCTGTTTTTCAATCTGAAGAGGGTATTGTTGGAGAAATCCTGAATGAGGACGGGGCCACCTCTGAGGTCATCTCAGCAGACAACAGCTCTGCTTCTGAGTGAAGAACACAATGGACTCCGAGAGAACTGAAATTATCCAGCAATTATGGGAGACAATGGATGGTTGTCCCAGCTTTTTTCACTTCAGCTTCCCCACGCCGGCAGCCAACACACACACAGGGCTGCTTTTACTTCTTTCCATGCAAGAAACTGTATTTACGCAGCATATTGAGGATAGACACAACCTTGCATCCGTGGGCCAGAGCGAGGAGGGATGTGTGGATATCAGAGGTTTGTAAAATGTCCGCAGGAAGCCCATTAAGGTGTGCCTTTACTACGACTCTAACTAGAAGAGAGTTAGAAGGCCCACCAAGTCCTCTAAGTTCACTGCCACTGCAAAGGCAGCACGGTGTTTGTGAGGGGCTGGTCTCTCCTTGAACCCTTTTAAAGAGGGGTGTCTGAGCCTCACTACCTGTGCCGATCTGTGCGCTCTGTATAGGTGCCTGGTTCCATCACCGCCAATCCCCGGGGCAGGTGCTGAAGCTAAGTGGTTTGGCGAAATCCTCCAAATGAGGCTTATGCGTGCCTGTATGGGCGCCCGGATCTCCCACCGTCTAAGCCTAGTTGGTGTTTTCAGACTCTAATTGAACACACTGAAGGGCATAAAACCGGGCCATTTTCTGTAGCCTGGTTAAAGGATTTATTTTTCAGAGGAAATCCCTAACGGTGGCTCAGGCTTACTCAACTGGCTCCAATGGCATCCGGCTTGGACTGAGTGTTAATTTCAGAAGAATTTTCCCGGTCATGAAAGTTAATGATCTAGTGCTCCTGGGCTCCTAACTCCGCAAAGGCCAAATGCGGTTCAGGCAGCTGGGGCTCTAGTTCGGCACACAACCTGAGCGGCTCTCTTTCCCTGACAGTCCCGTGCTTCCGGCCTGTCCCCCAGAGATGGACGAATGGTCGCTCTGTCTCCAAGTCCCCGTTTCCTGTAGTCTCTCAAGCAGCCTATTAACCGAACAGCGCCGTGATGCGGATTACTATCCTTCAGCGAGAGGCTAATGCCACCAGATTCATTTTGTTTAACAACCTCAGAATTGACTCACAATTGGACTCTGGAATGAAGGGCTAATTGAGTCAGTCTGCTGCAGAGAGTATAACCCTGATGGGGAGGATAAAACCAGATATACTGCTCTGAGCAGAACCCTGGACAGGCTGCTTTAGGAGAGAAGATTGTCGGCACAGATCCCTGGTCCTAAGAGGAACACAGCCAGTGGACAGAAAAGAGTTTCAAACTAATTTTGAGCACATGCAGCACTGCCAAAACACTAACATTTCCATGGTTTTGTTTTTCACAGTGGACCCACCTCCTACTGATGTCTCTACTTGGAGACAGGATGGTAACTTCAGGGGATTTGCATTTTACTGAGAGAAACACTGAAGTCAGAGGAAGTTTATCCAGCGTTGTGCTGGAACCAGCTCATTACTGGCCAACTGGTGTATTTTCAGGGATTTCGCGAGTTGGCTAACAGCATGGTGGTAGTTTGAGAGTAACCATAGTAGGAGTATTTGCACCGTGGTGATCGCAAATGAGGGCTTTGTGTTGTTCTTGGAGAAACGGGTGTTTGCTACGTATCTGCACAACCCCGTTTAGGACTATTATGATGTGTTCAATCCTCCTGACAAAGCACCCGTCATGTCTCGGGAGTGAGGTCCCGACCCTCCTGGTGCGGCTTCCTCTCCATCCCCGGTCATTTGGGCCAAATGAAACGGTGTAGGACCAGTTTTCATCTCGTGTTTAGTACCTCCCAAAGAAAGAAAACAGTCGGCCCTCAAACACCCTTCCTTCCTAACATCTTCTCTTACAGACGGACACAGTTCTCTGAAATCTCTCTTTTTTTAGGTTTATTTATTTATTTAATCCTTCCTAACATCTTCTCTTACAGATGGACACAATACTCTATTTTTTAAACGTTTATTTATTTTGAGAGAGAGAGAGAGAGAGAGAGAGAGAGAGAGCAGGGGAGGGACAGATAGAGAATTCCAAGCAGGATCTGCACCGCCAGCATAGAGCCCAACGCAGGACTCAAACCCACGAACCATGAGATCGTCACCATGAGCCAAAGTCAGACACTTAACTGACTGAGCCACCCAGGCACCCCAGCCTCTGAAATCTCTTAAAGTCACATGTTGGTTACATGTACTGACAAAGCAGCTGACCTGTCAGTTCCATGGTTCCGCCCCTGAAAGATGTGCCAGGTGCTTGCGGTATAGTCAGTAAACTCTCTGTCTCTGAAGTCAACCCACCAAGAGAGACAAATAAAAAGATGATAACAATACAGTGGCTAGTTCTTGATAAATGACAGAAAGGCCGCTAATAAAAATAATATCAGACATGAATGAAGTATTTCCTAAGTGTCAGGTATGTCTTTACACACTTTTTATTTTTTCCAACAACTCTAATAAGGTAGGGACAGTTGTTTTCTTATCCAAATTTCAGGAGGGAACCACATCTTAGCAAGTTTAGCCTAGAGTCAAATAGTGAGCAGTAGAACCAAGATATGACCGCACACATATTAACACCGATGCCGCGTGTTAATAAGCTTTTGACGCGACACAGCTAGATGTTGGTTTCAGAGAAGCCATGACATTGGGACTGAGAGTCACAGGATGACTCCGTCCAACAAAGGTGGAGGGGATATACCAGGCAGGAGGGGCGGCATGTGACAAAGTCAGCACGTTCATGGTATTCCCGGGGTAACGACAATGGAATGTTTGTCTTGCCAGATTGATTTAAGGTCTTGACATGTAGGCACACGTTTAATATAACAACCTTAGAAGGTAATCCTACCAGCCCATTTTACAGATGAAGAAACGGAAGCAAAGAGAGGTGAAGTAACTCCCACCAGGTTGTAGACCTCTGCGGTGGAGCGCGACCACACTCAACATCAGACTCCAGAGCCGGAAATCATTTGCAACTACTAAACGTAACACAGCCATCACCCAGATCATTGTGAGCTGTGCACTTGGGATGGCTGAGCCACACGAGGGGAATGGTGAGTGATGGGTGATGATGCTGGCAAGGATGTGAAGAGCCTTGAACGACCTAAGAGTTTGGATTTTATCCTAAAACCAGTGGGAACCACTGAAGGTTTTTAAACAGAGAAGTAACGTGATCAGGTTTGCGTATTAGGAAGACTCCGGGGTCGCTCAGGTGTTCAGCAAAGATTTGCTGGAGACCTCCTCTGTGCCTTCACCATTCTAGCAGGAATGGGGAAGCAGGACACTGGCCAAAGGATATTGGCCAATAGGAGACTAAAGCCAGTGGAGAGCCAGTGGGGAGATCTGAGGACCTGAAGGAGAGGAAGAAAAGAGGATGCACGGAGAGGAGGGTTTTACTAGGTGAGTTTTACTAGAGGCAGGTTTTACTAGAGGCGGGTTTTCTAGACTGTAGAAAGGAGGGGCAGAATCAAGGCGCAGGTAACTCAGCACACAGTGGTGCTGTGGGGAGAACGCAGGAGAGGACAGGTCCACGAGGAAGATGGTGACAGGCGGGATGCGAGCATCTTGCAAATGGTTATAGCTTAAGATCTTCATCTGTCCAGTCGCCAACTATGGTCTGAGCACCTGCTACCCCCCAGCTCCCGTCCCCCAGCTGTCCCAGGACAGCCCTTGCTGAACATGCTTCCCCTGCCCATCTTGGGTTAAGAGTCACATTGTAACCTGTGTCAGTGCCTTCCCCGCCTCGGCTGCACTGATCCAAACACAAAAGCTTAAACGTCCAGTGTGGGATTAACAAAGAAATTCCACGATTGGATTTCTTCTGGAGACATGAAATCTCCATGACTACAAGCAGTGATGAACCTGACTGTTTTTCTCTGAGAAAAGGAAAAGGAAATGAATAGGCAGTAATGTAGAAATGCATCTCCCTCCGAAAGAGAAAATTCCCACCCTCAGAGAGGAGGAAAACGCCGGCAAATGCCAAGTTAGCCTTAGAGAAAGAGAAAACTGCTGAAGAGAAAACAGTGGTTTATGCAGGAAATATACTAAAGGAAGCACGCTGCTAACTGGAAATAGAAAAATGATTATAACGATAAAATCTTGGAGA